ATCGGAAGATTGTGCACCCATCTCGGACCACCATAAACCCACTGTCACCTAAATTAATGGCATTGATACCCTGCAATGTGATCTCAAACAGTTTAATCTATGTTGCCAACAAGACTACACAAGAACAAAAGATTGTAAGACTGTAAACAACATCTCACATTGAAAAGGAGTACGGAACTTTAACTTTACCAACTGAAAAGAAAACAAGCCCCTATGAAAGAGAAAGTCACATTGCAAGAAGAAAATAAAGGCAAGATAAGCAGCCTGGCCTAAATGGGAGTATCATACATGTTCATTGAGTGCTATTATGCATGCTGTTGAAGAACCTTTAGCTTTTGTGATTGAATGAGCTTTCTCCAAGACTCTAGCTGGGTCAATTGATCCCTTAGGTTCCTCTTGCACAGCAGTAACTGAATTAGACATCAGTTCCCGGGAATATAGGCCGGCATCGACACCATGATCTGCCCACCCACCAACACCATCTGCCACGCCTAATGCTTGTTCATCAACACAGATAAAGTGAGCATCTTCGCCACCAGTTTCTTCTTTATCTGGATGAGGCAGGTAGCATGATCCTGAAACTAGTTTTAGGGATTTTCCGGCTGTAATTTTCCTGTTGTCATTGTAGCACATCTTCAGTAATTGCTACCAAACCATAAATCCAGAAACATGTCAAGAGAATGCTTGTTTCTTCCTAAGAAGACCACTTAAAACTATACAATATAAGGTTACTTTTCAGTAAAGATGCATTATATACCTAAGTTAAGAATGTTTATTTCAAAGAATAAATCATAAATTAAGATAGGAAAACATCATGAGTATAACTTAATAAGAGAAAGAAACAGCTTGACGGAACATACTGATCAGATGAATCTGCAGAACCAGAAAGTTGCTCCTCACGGGAAGAATTATCAAAAGACACGTCATGGGCAGGCCCAGCAGAGAAACATGTAGAAGATGAGCTATGAAGTTCTCTTGATCCTGATCCTAAAAATGGAAAAGAACTAAACAACCTCTTCCCAGCTTCATTTATGAAGTATCCATAAATTGCACTATTGTTTGGTTGTTCTCTGTTTTTCAAACTCATGGTAGCTTTTTGACAACTGTCAAAACTTCTAATTCTGCTGTTGTAAATTATACTGGCACTGTCACTAACTGGCAGACGATGCTCACGCCTTGAAGTCAATTTACTTCTATAATATTCTCCAAACACAACTCTAGAACCAGAGGCAGCCATAGGTTTATTCTGGAACTTGCTGCTGATTGAAACTTGATTGAGATCAGAGAGTGCAATATCAATGTGATACCCACAAACCTGAAACGAGGGTCCCGAGACAGATGGAATAGAGAATGTGCGAGAAATAGCTCCAACAACAGAAAGGTTCTTTCTCTGATTAACTACTTGTGAATCCAAGCTTGCAGGAACAACAGTGCCCGGTCGTAAAAGTGCTTGCAGCTCTGAAAGACTCGAGAATGATCTGGAGTGGAACATCCAAGAATTGCCAAACAACAATTTCTCCTTCCCTATAAACACTCTAACCGAGTCTTGAACCGCACCATCATCCCCAACAATCGATCTCTGAACTACCGCTCTAAGCCTTGAAAAATAAGGAGATGGCATCTTACCCTCTTAAATAAAACAGTTCAGCTTCAACACGTCTATTACCGAGAACACAAGCAATACCACAGCATGCGAAAGTAAATCTCATAACTCCCTATACCATCTATAATCCTAATTAACCTTTTGTACAATCCGCTTTCTTCCAGCAATATATCAAAGTCACTCAGAAACCTAATAAAGAAAGCAAAATGAGGCGCACCCAATAAGTGAAAAAACTTAAAGCATTTATACGTTCCAAGATATAATCTCTTTTTACCAGAAAGAACATGATTTAGAGCCGCAGATTCTTATCCATATACTATAATATTATCTAATGCAGAAATCTTGGATTTTATCATTGATCCTCACCCTCAATAATCATAAACCGATTTCCTTATTCACCATCACTATGCAAAAACCAATAAGAGATCCAAAAGAAAACAAGAATGAATAAAAAAAAAACTAAATAAATGACAAAATTCAAAACAAAGAAATTAATGTATAAGGAAGCAATTAAAAAACATTATAATAAAAAAAACAGAGAGAAAACGTACGAAATCGCAGCTCGCAGAGCAATCGAACCGCAAACCAAGCCCTAGAAGCCCCGAACGAAAGCTCAACGGGCATAAGCCTGAGAATCAAGAGCTCCTCTTCATATACCAAAAAAATAGGAACATGACTAGATTTGACTCCTTGGAGTTAGGTGGTGCGTGGCAAACAAACACGAGTACCTCAAATTCCTCTCGCTCTCTCTCTCTCTCACTAAATCCCAAAAGATTTGCGATCGGATTTAACCAGCGAAAGAAGACGAAAACAAAGAGCCAAAAACACAGAACGATTGGAAACCACGGGCAAAGAAGTGACTAACTGAGATTAACGCCTAGGGTTTTAATTCTGTATTTGGGTGTGTGACGAGATTAGAATATTGACCGCCGAAGTATTAAACTAATGTGTGTATGTATACATATATACTAACGGTAATCTCCTGAGAAATTGGCAATTTTAGGTGATTTTACTGTTTTAGCCCTACCGTTAGGCGGTGCAATTTATGTCGAAGGAACATTGGCATCTCCCAATTTGCCTTTCTGAGTTTGGATTAGAGTGAGGGTAGTTTGGTCAATATACTGATGCTATGACGTCCAGGTCGATACGTCACTACGTTGTACTTTTCGACTTTGTTTTTGTTTTTGTTTTTCCCCATTTTTTGAGGGAATTAGGACTTTTGGACTTGGCTTTCGTTTCATGCCAACTTTGACATTGTGGCTGGATAAGGGAATGACGACTGATATCCATTGATTGTATATTGATACTATTTTCTTTTTGTGTGAAGGAACACTTTGATATATTTTTATTGAATTTATTTTAAAATTATTTTTAAAAATACGTTTGGTAATTTTATTTTGAGATTATTTTCAGTTTAAAAAAAATTAAAATTGTGTTTTGTGGTTTAATTTTAAAAGCATGTAATAATATTTAAAATTAAAATATATTAAATATATTAAATAAAACGTTTAAATGAGTGTGTTTAATATTAAACACACCCATTTTTGTCCTCTCGGCAAAGCAAGAGGAATCTCTGGAGAAGAGGGGGCAACGAGGCCGAGGCAGTTATTGGGGGGGAGGGGGGTGGGCAGTTGGGAGGGGTGTGGGCAGTCGGAGAAGAGAGAGAAGAACGAAATGAGAAAATGAAAAGAAAAATAAAAATAGATTTAATCCGTTTTCAGAAAAAAGTGAGTTTTTAGGAAAAATCCAAAAATATTTTTATTTTTGGTTTTGGTACAGATCCTTCCCAAACGCATTTTCCTTTCCCGTTTCAATTTTTTCTCCTCAAAAAACGTGAAAAACGAAAACGAAAATGAAAACAAATGGGTTCCATTGCCAAGAGAATATGCTTTTATACTAAGAGGTGGAGTATTAACCTCAAAAATAAAAACAAAACAAAAGGTGGAGGATTTTTCCCTTTTTCTTTAGATAAAAGGTGGAGATGTTTTTTTTTTTTTTTTTTTTTTTTTTTTTGCAATCGGAAGTGTTGAAGATTAAACTATGGTTTTAACGTAAATGTCAGCAATTCTATTATCATGTAGGTTTGATTTCTAGTTAGCTTTTGGAAACAAATATTTATAAGAATGAGTTTGGAAATGTATTGTTGAATGTAGGTTTGCCATCTCTTTTTCCCGTTTAATTTTTGCTCATGGCTGTAGCCTGTAGGGACGCTAATAAGGTGGCTCGCGGTCCGGTAAAATTGTCAAAAAAGAAAGAAAAAAAAAAAAAGATTTTTGGAACCGGTATCACCCCATATTCTTATCATATTAAGGAAAATTAGTGTTGCGTGAATGCTATGTGTATCTATTAGCGCATATAGACTTTTATGAATATATATATTCTTATAATTAGCAAAAAATTTTGGTTTTTTTGCTCACGATCAAGCATATATCCACAACTAGTCCGTATTATGATTTTTCCCATACGTATTGATTTTCTCATACATGACCGCTTTTATGCACTAGACTAGATAAAATAGTATTTTGACAATATGGAATTAGTCCCTCCAATAAGAAAAATGATATTTATTCCGATGGAGATAAAACTCCATTACTCATAAAATGATGAGTTTCAGTAAGTTGGGTCCTACTTATTCACTTATCGGGACTCATTTTATGTGAGTAGCGGAGTTTTAACCTCATCAGAATGAATAGAAGTGCTCCTCCAATAATGTTCAGATTAAAGTCAGACATTAAGATTCGAGCTTTACATCTTTACCTAGAAGAATAACAACACAATTAACAAACGAAGGAGTGTAGAAAATGAGTTGTGACAGAATTTAAAGTACTACCAGAGTTTAAGCCAAAAACAAACAGAAGAAAATATTTTCACAAACAAGTATAGTGCATGAACAAATGTCAGTATTATATATTTATTCAAATATGGTAAATACAGCACTTCAACATGCACATTGTGGTTGTTATTTATAGCACCTAAATCTACAAAGACACATTCAAGTTAAAGAAATCTTCTTAAAGAGGATTTGAGCACCATATGTTGGTTGTAAAGTTGCGAGCAGAATAGGGGCATGAACATATGTTGGCGACAACCTGAAAGAATAATTTTGAATGATCATGGCTAAGACTATCTTGGCCTCAACCATGGCCAGATTTTGTGCCACGCAGATTCGAGGACCCAATCCGAATGGGAAGAACGAGGCTAGATGTTTCCGAGGCTCGGTAAATCTCAATGGATTGAACTTGTTGGCATCTTCTCCCCATATCTCAGTACGCCGATGGACAACAACCATGGCCAGAAGAAACTGCGTATGAGCAGCAATGTCGACATTTCCTAGCCTGATTCTCTTAGACGTTTTCCTCATCATAACACTGGTAGGCGGATAGAGCCTAAGTGCTTCGTTTATTATCATTGTCACCTGTTACAACATGTTGATGGAAAGTTTCAGTAAGAAACAGAGACATATGTAATAGTTTATTTGAAAAAGTTCTAATAAGTCACAAAGAACTGTACTTACAAGCTTAAGGTTGTTTAGATTCTTTGCAAGTGGAAGTCCATTAAATCCGAAGACACGAACTACTTCTTCTCTAGCCTTGTTTTGCCATTCCTCATGTTGTGCTAGAAGGAGAAGAGCCCAGGTCAAGAGATTAGCAGTTGTTTCCTTTCCTGCAAAGTAAAAGGTCTTGCACTCATCTATGATTTCCTCAACCCCTAGTTTCTCCACATTGCCTTCCTGATTTTCATAAGAAGCCATAAGCAGACTAAGTAGAATCCTGGAATTCTCTCTTGTTTTGCTGCTTGTCATGATCAACCTCCTCACCAAGTCCCGAGTTTCCTTCTCTAATCTCCATCTCTCTCTGTTGTCCTTGGTAGGCAAAAACCTTTGATTTTGAAAGCAAAGCAAAACAAACTTGCTTCAGATGCTGCTAATATGAAGTTTGATTTAGATCATATCCGATACAAGTGCCAATGCAAACGCAATATTTGACAAGAAAAAGTTGAAAATACATATTTGATATGTTATTTTGTTTTATGCTCCAATATATAAAGTTGTTTCAAATGCTAAATCTACTTTTATCATAGTTATCAAGCTTTTACACTTGCAAAAAATAAACTTTTAATTTTAAAATAATTTGAAAATGACAATATGTTTAGATTAAACGAAAAGGTCAATATATCAACCAATAACAATCAATGACTAAAATTTGGCATATGCATACTTTGGTGCCATGCTATATTTGACACCAAATAATACATACGCCAAGTTTAGCACCAATAATTACGTTGGAGTAATTTTTTTACTCAAATACTAAACTTTGGCATTGATTCACTGATTTATTAGAGATGCTCTTATGCCATATCTTTATTGCCATCTACAGAGCTTTCATTGTTTAGTGGTTGTTGAGTTTTGAAACCCTTCAAAAAGCTGTTTGTAAGACAAAAGCTTATGCATTAGTGGGACTTAGTTAAAAGTGTATAGATAGTCACCTGAATCCAGGAATATATACATTTTTTGATCCCTTGGAGAAATGAAGCAATTGATCTTCTTGCAAGCTGAATATGCGCTTCCCTTCCTCAAAACTGCTTCCAAAAGCTGTTCTTGATATGATATCTGCCGAAAGCTCATGAACTTCTTTGTGCACGTCCAACTCAAATTCCTCTCTTCCTTCTCTTATATCCTCCCACTTTTCGAGCTTCTTCACAACACCAGCTACTATATCTGGAACCCAACTCTAAAGAAAAATAAATTATAAACTGAAAGTTTTACTAACATTGCAAAGATCATGCCCCTTATCTCAAACATAGTTATCTTTTTGTCCCCATTATTGGAAATCCTGATGTACATACCATATCTACATGCACGTAATTATAGGAATGTTGACTTATTCCACCTAACATAGCTGTAGAGATAGCTTTCTTTATTTGTATGATTTTGTGCTGATTGTAATAGCCTAGAGTTAAGAGATTAGATTGAGTTTGTACAGCTATATAACAAAGGATTCATCAATGAGAACAATTTGTATGGAAAGTTAAAAACCGTTTGGGGTGAGTTGCAGGGCCTCAATCCGATACCAGTATGTCAATGCGGATGCAAATGCAGTGCAACAAAGAAAATGCAGTCCATGCGCGAGGAGGAGAAGGTTTTTGATTTTTTGATGGGGCTCGACGAAGAATACACAACTGTGAGATCCCAAATCTTAAGCGTTGATCCGCTGCCAGTTCTCTGAAGGGCCTACGCCATTGCCGCACAAGAGGAGAAACAGCGTTCGGTTGCTGCAAATCGTACTCTGACCATAGAAGCTGTTGCCTTACTAACTAAAGGTAACGAGTCAAGATTGAAGAGAAATAATAATGGAGATCGTGGTAACTTTCCACCGTGTGTGCATTGTGGGAAGACAAACCATAGCAAATCACACTGTTACAAGGTGATTGGATATCCACCGGATTGGCGCAAACCAGGAAAGCGGAACGATAAGCAGACCAAACCACAAGGAGATCACGATCACAAGGCCGATGGCGCAGCTCCGAACGTTTCTTCCGGAGCAGCTTTTGCTACAACCATGGATGAAGCCATGTCACCAATTCCTGGCCTGACTTCTGCTCAACATCAACAACTGATGACTCTTCTCAGTGGAACTCCATCTGCGAACATGGCAACCTCCAATTGTTCGGGTAAGCCAGACAATGAATGGGTGATTGATACAGGGACGACAAATCACATAACCCATAATCTAGACTCATTATCAGAAGCAATATCACAGTCTGATATTCCACCAGTGCAAATTCCTAATGGCGAAACAGTAGCAATCCATGCTCTCGGTCGGGTGCACTTGGAAAGAGATTGACTATTGAACGAGTCCTTGGAGTTCTGGATTTCTGTTTCAATTTATTGTTTGTTAGTAAATTGACACGTAATTTAAATTGTACGTTGACTTTTTGGTCAAAATTTTGTGTGATTCAGGACTTACCTTCGAGGACGCTGATTGGAGTGGGTAGAGAGCGGAATGGTCTCTACTACTTGGAACCAATGAAAGGGGGGAAGGCATTATTCGCCAACAATCCGGTTAATATGAGTTTATGGCACCGGCACTTACGACATCTACTAGTAAATCGCATTCTGTTGGTTCCAAACTTGTCTGTTTCTTTTGACTGCAACAAGACTATGTTTTGTGATGCTTGTTGTAAGGCAAAACAAATTCGGTTACCTCTTCCTATCAGTATGAATAAGACTGTGCGTGCTTTTGATTTACTTCACTGTGATATTTGGGGTTCATATAAAACAGAGTCCTACTCTGGGTCTCATTATTTTCTAATCATAGTGGATGATTTTAGTAGAGCAACATGGGTCTTTCTTATGAAATACAAGTCAGAAGTCAAGATGTATCTTTTGCAATTTTTAAATTGGGTTTCCACACAGTTTAACACGCAAGTCAAAATTTTACGGGCAGACAATGGGTTAGAATTTACTCATGGTGATCTAATGGCTCATTATCTTGAACATGGCATGGAACGACAATCAAGTTGTATAGACACACCGCAGCAGAATGGTGTAGTCAAGCGAAAGCATAGGCATCTTCTTGAAGTGGCGCGACCACTGTGATTTCAAGCGAAACTTCCTCTCTCATTTTGGGGGGATTGTGTTCTTACCGCCACATACTTGATCAATCGCATGCCGCTCTCAGTTTTACAAAATAAAACTCCATACGAGGTTTTACTTGGGAAGATCCCAAATTATCACCATTTAAGGAGCTTTGGTTGCCTTTGTTACGGGCATGTGAATAGTAAGCCATGAGACAAGTTTGCACCACGAGCCAAACCAGGCATTTTTGTTGGTTACCCTAATGGGCAAAAGGGGTACAAAATTTATGATCTTGAGAGTAAAACGATCTATGTTTCTCGTGATGTTTAGTTCTTCGAAGACATCTTTCCATTTGCAAATCATTCAGTCACAGATTTGGTTCAGACCACAACATTGGATCAAGAGTAGGCACCTCGACTTGTGGCCACGGAGTCCTTATCACCTGTCATTGTGGCGCCACACTTCGAATCTGTAGCTGAGCCACTTCCTCCGACATACGGAGCAAACTGTGTTAGAGAGATTGTAATATATCTCTAAATCTTGATATCACAAAATTGGATTAAAACACATTCGGGAAGAGTAGGCTGACGCAAGCACGCGCTGCAGCGCGAAAGAGTGCGCGCTGCAGCGCACGGACGTGCTGCAGCGCGTTTGGGCGCTGCAGCCTGCGCAAAACAGACCTCTCGGGTCTGTTTTGCTAGGCACGCGCGCTGCAGCGCACAACAGCGTGCGCTGCAGCGCGGCAGCGCGCGTTTGGGCGCTGCAACCTGCGCAAAACAGACCCTCGGGTATGTTTTGCTAGGCACGCGCGCTGCAGCGCACAGCAGCGCGCGTTTGAGCGCTGCAGCGTAAATCTTCGACGGAAAATGTGTTCGTGTGTTTTAGTGATCTGAAAAGGTCTCGAACCATTGCATCTATTTGTGATATGTTTTCTCACATATCTGAGCACTTATTAACAATATAAATAACTATTGTTATAAGTGTATCAGCATATAAAAGATAACCATCAAATTGAAAATGTATCTTTATGTGAAAGGTTGTAACACTTAAAGAGGATGAATGCATCCCTGTCTTTATGATGGACTTCAGAAAATACAGATTGATATACATTGTTTTGGAACTCAATATTTTTGCTGGATATTGTGTTCAAGGGTTTGTTGTATCTTTGGGGTAATTTACCATTTAGAACTCGTTAGCAAACTTTGAGAAGTGAGGGCAAATAAAACCTTAAAGGAAAGTATTTCTATACGCCTCAAACCCTTCTTTCTGAATTCTCTATTCTTTTCATCCTCCCAAATCCGAATTTCCAACAATCTTTAAGGTTTTATTTGCCGCAATGGAGGTTGAAAAGAACATGACGTCTTTCCTCAATCTGACCTCTCGGGTCTGTTTTGCTAGGCACGCGCGTTGCAGCGCATAGCAGCGTGCGCTGCAGCGCGTGTTTGAGCGCTGCAGCGCAAATCTTCGACGGAAAGTGTGTTCGTGTGTTTTAGTGATCTGAAAAGGTCTCGAACCATTGTATCTATTTGTGATATGTTTTCTCACATATCTGAGCACTTATTAACAATAGAAATAACTATTGTTATAAGTGCATAAGCATATAAAAGATAACCATCAAATTGAAAAGGTATCTTTATGTGAAAGGTTGTAACACTTAAAGAG